CCCTTGGAACCCAGAAAATATGGCATAGAAGGAGTTGCTTTTCTACCTTAGCTGCCACTGCATAACCCCAAATTAACATAAGCCAACCTCCAGGCAGCACCTGGAGATCTCCAGCTATTACAACTGATGTCCAGATGACCAAGTTCAGTTCTCCTGGAGAATATGGCTGCTTTGGACAGTGAACTCTGGCATTATAGCCTGCTGAGGTCCCTCTCTACCCCAAACCCTGCCCTCCCCAGGCTCTTCCCCTCAAATCTACAGCTATTTCCCAACACAGAGTTGGCAACCCTGTAACTGGCTATGGAACTGCTTTCTGGATCCTTGGAACCCAGAAGACATGGCATAGGAGGAGGTGCTTTTCTACCTTAGCTGCCACTGCATAACCCCAATCAACGTAAGTTAGGGGTGGAGGGAACCATACCTGTTACCATGAGGCTGTCCTCCCATACTACCCACTTGGGACAGCAAAATGATTTGAGACAGCCCTGTCTTATAGCTAAGCAGAAGGAAATAATTATGGCTTGCCTTCCTCTATTTCCCCTTTCTTCTGCCGCCCCACCAGCCACAGCCAGGACACTCACCTGGAGCTTCCTTATAGAGCTTGTTGTATTTCTTCCCACAACAGGCCTTACTCCTAGTAAAATAATACAACTTATTTTTTAAAAATCACATTTCTTCTAAATAAATGAAATAAATGTTCACACAAAAATCCTGTTCTATATTGCAAATACCAAAGCCTGCTCTGAGAAAGTCAGTATGGTAGAATTACCACTTTCCTCCAGCTATGCTTCTGTGCCTTTAAGGCAGAAATTCAATGTGACTATTTCCCCTTCTTTGTGATAAGAAAAAACTTTCCTAGTTGACTTTCTGTCTCTCAAGTAACTGTTTACATCACCCTGGTAAGCTATAATGTGGCACAATGTACTTGAATCAATACAACCCTGCCAAATTTCCTAAGTGCTCTTACCCCCTTCCAAATTTCCTCCTCTCAGCTCTTTGGAAAGGCTTCTAGGATGAAAAGGAAATCACTCTCTGAAGCCCCACCCCTTTGTAGGGCTTCCCCTCATCCAATCAGTAGACTGGGCTGCCCCACCCACTGTCACTGGTTCAGGTAACCGAGGTGTCTCAAGTTGCAGATTCAACAGAGACAGAGGTGAAGGTGAGAAATGAATGTGTTTCTGCAGGGTAGGGGAGGAGGGAAGAAACTGGAGAGTATCAGAAAGGCAAAGTGAAATGAAAGAATGGATAATGTGGCCGAGAGTTGGAAGAGGGAGTTGGTTCAATGCAGTATCCTGTCAAATGCAGGAAAAGGTAGTGAGGCTTGTCCAGCTGTGCCATTGTTCTTATTTAGTGTCACTATATCATGCTAGAGTGCACCTATTGCCCATCTGCACATCAGCATATAAAAAATACTTCCTAGGACTGCCAGTTTTTCTCTTCACTTTATGACACGTAACAATTCCCATACTATTCCTTCACTATTCAGATGGCAATGGGCTATACCTCCCACCTTTTATTCAGTTCTTTTCCTATCCATGTTACATGAAGTATGCTCCTCCATGGACGAATCCCAGTATGGACTGGGGGAGTAGGGGACATCTACTGCAAAGTCTGTTTAAAAACCTTGCATGGGAGGGATTGTGGCCTTTCTCTGGCCATTTAAAATGTAGGCAGGTAGGTTGTCCCTACACATACACACACGGCCCTGTGCAGGACTTCTCCTTTTGACATCTTTTATTTATTTTTAAAAATCTATCTCACCTTTCTACAAGTCAAAGTTAATAACAAGATAGTAGTAAAACAGCTGAGTAAGAAGGAATAACACTCCAAAATACCAGATCTGTAGGGTGTAGGGATCGTTTAAAGTTTAAACTATCAGAAACTCATATAAAGATTACAAGCCAAGCAAGCATATGGGTGGAGGGGTCTGTATGTGTGAGTGAGTGAGTGAATGAATGGTGTCTGCACAAGTCTGTATGTGAGGAAGGGAGGGAGGGGAAAATGAGAAGGTTCCTTAAAAGTACTAGAAGCGGAGGCTCAGCGTAGTGAATGAGCTCAGGGTTTATTGATTACATCAGGAACTTGAAGATAATTTTGGCCGGCCACAGGTTGGCTTATATGTGTGAACACACCACACCCAAACCACACCCAGCACACACCCCAAGCCCAGTGATAGGTTCTATTTACATGCAACAGACCTGGTTGGTCTACTTTTGGATCCGGGCGAACCCATTGGTGCGCCCTAGGATCCGAAGTGGCTATTGTTCGTATGGGTGAAGGTCCAGGTCTGTTTTAGACCGCATGGCCAGGCCCACATGGCCGTGGCCATCTTTACTTAATATATTACAGTTCTGAACTTTTCCTGTTCTGCTAAATTTAACTTGGGTTAATCTTGCAGTCACATTAAAATATTTTCAGTAATCAGTAACACAGAGTCAATATTAACTAGTGGTGTAAGCGGGATGACTGTTGCGTTAGGAGAGTGGTTTTGCACTCTTACCGTTTTCCCCATTTCATTTTCATTCAGAGTGCAGAGCTGGTCTTGGAACTCATTGAACAAAACACAGCAGCTGTCAGAGTGGAACCAGCACGCTCAGGTTTGCTTCACTTCAGCTGAGAAATTTTTGAAAAGGGGCTTTAACTTCACAATATGACAATTTTCATTTATAGAACGAGAGCTTGTTTTTAAGAATAGGAATATTTCTGTTTTTTTTTTTAATATCTATGATGGCTGGTCCCCCTACCCTCTGGTATTGCTCAAAACTTGACCTGACCTGCCTAGCTCTGCCCATCGAACAGTCTTCTTGGGTTGATATAGATATTTCAAGGCCACAGCTGCCCTACAATGCTGAAGAGATCAAGGAAATACAACCCCTCCTTTAGTTATTGTGACTTGAAGGGATCTGATGATTGTGGCATGTCTGGACCTCAAAGGGTGGTTAGACATTTGCAGCTCTAAGATGAGAAAACATTGGGGATGGTGTGTGCATGTGAGAAATGGTAGTCATTCTGCCTGAGCCGGCATCTATTTAAGCGACTGCTAACTGTGTCAAGAGGCCCATGTAACACTCAGAAAGAAGGGAAGTTGTGGTCAGTTTCTTTAAGAACCTAGTCCTACTCCGGCCTTTCAGATTTTCTCCTGGTTACTGACCAAAAAGTTCAGAGGCTCCAGAACACTAAAAAGAGGGTCAGTGGCCTGAGGAAGGAAGCTGGCTTGAAGAGCTTACATGGTGATAAACTACTGCTGGGAAAAAATTGGCAAGTCTTTCCTCATAGCAAAATTCTGTAAAATAATCAAGAAAAAACAGATAACTTTTGGAGATGATAAAAACTGGCTACCAGAGATCCAGGAGGGTGGCAAACTGAGAAGCAAAGCAATTGCTACAGGACAACCATGATGTTCTGGGTCCTGCTTTGGTTATAGAGGAGAGGACGAAGTGGCCATTCAAGTAACCTTTACCTTTGTAGGGATTTTTAAGATGGGTGAACTGAATTTTTCTTTGCTAAACATAGTTAGCTGTAAGTGATATTTGTATTGTGTTTATTTGTGCCCAGCGCGTTGAGGTGTTTTCCTTTTCAAATTGATAAAATAAATATTTTAGTTTCTTCACAAGGCACTTAATGGGGTGCTCTGTAACAGAATGTGAGCAAGGACGGTAATGAAGGATGTTCCTCTTTATTTAAATATAGTAAAAGCTTCTGAACTTTAAAATACCTATATTTCACCCAGTTTACACCTTCCTGATGCTAACAATCCGTAGACACAAAGGATACAGAGTTCCTTGGGTTTGGTAGTAGGGTAATAAGGAAATTGGGGGGGGGGTACTGTTACCCCAGCTAGTTTTGTTACCTGGTTTGCAGAGAAATGTACACATCAAAGAGACAGAGGAGCTTTCAGAGGAAGATTTCCATATTGGGACATGCTGGAATGCTGAGAATTCTGATACTTACCTGGGGGGGGGGGCTAGGCTTGCCAAGTCAAGCACGCGATGTGCACGTCACCCGGAAGTGCCGCGACCACGCCGGGCACGCTGGGGATGGGGCCACGGTCATCCGAGTGAAAACTCTATGGTTTTCCCTTGGATGGCCGTGGCCCCGCCCCCAGCGTGGTCGCGTCACTTCCAGGTGATGGGGTTGCGGCGCACGCACTCCCGGAGCAGCGCTGGAGTCCCCCGCTCCAGCGCCGATCCGACTTGGGAACCCTTGGGTGGGGGCAGAAGAGACAGATGGTCTGTTTCTGCAACCTCCAGGGTCCATATTTTTGGCAAGCTCCTATGATCATATGTGTGTCCCCTTCAGGACTACCCATAGACTCAGGAAAAATGCTTCGGGGGACCTTGGGGTAGTTTTAGAGGTGAGGGTGCCTGTGAATGCCGATGTAACAGGCTTCCCCTCTGATGTAGGGTATACCAGTAGGGTCCCATTACAGCCTGTGGGAGTGTCCGATATGGGCAGTTTAATAGACATACTTGTTTCTGAGAGATGCAGGCAAGCATTTGCTTCTTAGAAAGACAGGGAAGCATAAAAGATCTAAAATGGCTGTGGTTTGGTCAATAGAAAAAAGCCTAGAAAATACAGGAAGAGTTCAGAAAAATGCACAGCTGTTTTTTGTTCCTGAGAGGAGGGGTAGTACTACTTCGTAAGGGAAGTTGGCAGTAGTCCTGGAACACATGCCGCTTCATTGAACAGTTTCTTCCCTCCTCTGGGTTGCAGGCCAGAGCACAGGGGCCATGGTCTGCACCTATGCTCTCTAGCAAATTATTCTGTAACACACTAGCACTCATTCCTTGCTGCTGTGGACTCTTCTGACTGTGAATACTGATTTTTGAAATAATTCCTAAGCTATCTAGAAATGGACAAGTCTTCAGAATAAGGTTCAGAACATGAGTGTGGTGCGCAAAAGCTATCTTGATGGGATAAAACTAGTCAGTCTTCACTCTGCCTTCCTGTTACCTTTCAGGCTCCCAAAACATTCTGTGCAGGGCTGATCTTTTTCCAGAATGCAGCAAGAGGCTTTCATTGTGGTCCATGAATGGTTGAAGCAGCTGTGGCCTGAGGCCGAAATTGATTGTCATGTTGTCCTAGCCTTGACCTGTGGCTCAGCTGCAGCCTTTTTGGCACTCAAGTGGGTGAGCCAGAAGAGGATCAAAAAACAAATACAGGATGCATGTAAAAAGAGAGGACATGGCTTGGAAAAAATGGAAAAAGCTGTCCAGAAGTTTAAACAACAGGTATACCATCTCAAATGTGTGAAGGAGAAATTATTGTGATCAGGCCCATCCAGTCCAATACTCTGTCACACAGTGGTCCCTCTCAGAGGGGCTGTTCCCTGGGGCACTCAAGGAAGTGATGGCTCGCCCTCTCTTGAAAAAACCATCCCTGGACCCAACCGAATTGGCCAACTGTTGGCCGGTGTCCAATTTGCCCTATTTGGGCAAATGTATTGAGAGGGCAGTGGTGATACAGCTACAGAGTTTGCTGGGGGATGCTTCAGTCTTAGATCCCTTCCAGTCTGGCTTTCTCCCGGGTCATGGGACAGAGACGGCATTGGTCGCCCTGACTGATGACCTCCGAAGGCATCTGGATCGAGGTGGTGTGGCGGCACTGTTGTTGCTCAATCTGTCGGCCGTAATTGATACGGTTGCCCAGTTGCTGGCTCACCGCCTTGCTGATGCCAGGATTCAGGGGCTGGCTCTTCAATGGTTTGCCTCTTTTCTCCAAGGTTGGGGACAAAGGGTGGCGATAGGGGACCAGTGGTCCTGGAGGCACCCTCTTGATTGTGAGGTGCCTCAGGGGGCAGTACTGTCCCCAATGTTGTTTAACATCTACATGTGCCCCCTTGCCCAGATTGCCCGGAGGTATGGGCTTGGGTGTCACCAATATGCGGATGACACCCAGCTCTATCTGATGCTGGCCGGCTGGTCAAACTCCGACCCAGATGACCTTCAACGGGCGCTGCAAGCTGTGGCTGGTTGGCTTAGACTAAGTCGGCTGAAACTAAACCCAGTGAAGATGGAGGTCCTGGGCCTAGGTCGGTTCAGTTCAGGCTGCTGATGGGTCTCACTAAGCAGGACCACATCTGGCCTGTGCTGAAGACGCTGCACTGGCTGCCAATAGCGTACCGGGTTCACTTCAAAGCACTGGTTCTTACCTTTAAAGCTCTTTATGGTCAGGGTCCAGCATACCAAAGGACCGCCTTTCCCCATATGTTCCCCCAAGTGCACTACAGTCGGGGGGCCAACATCTTCTGACTACCCCAGGCCTCTTCTGACTACCCCAGGCCTCAGGGACGTCAAATTCGCTGAGACTAGGGCCAGGACCTTTTCGGTGGCAGCTCCTACTTGGTGGAATGAACTCCCGGAGGAGATCCAGGCCCTGCGGGATCTTGCACAGTTCCACAGGGCCTGCAAGATGGAGCTCTTTGAGTAGGAGCCGCCGCTACTGTTCCACCAATGCACCACCGCCGAAAATTGACGGAGGCACCATAAGGGTACAAGCGGGCCCTAGGAAGAAGACTGGTTATCTGCCATTTTGGAACTTACGTCGTTGGTCTGGATCCACCTTACCAGAACCCATCTTGGAATTGGGAACATCAGAGCACCAGCACTTTGTTGTATGATTGTTATGTTTTTATTTGGTTTTAATTGTTTTAATTATGGCTTTTGCCCCAATTGTTAGCTGCCCTGAGCCTTAGGAGAGGGCGGGATATAAATTAAATTATAAATACATAAATAAATAAATAAAAAATACAAGGTGCCATCAGGAGGTCCAGCAGTGGGGCCAGGACACTAGAAGCCCTCCTACTCTTGCCCCCCCTCCCAAGCACCAAGAATACAGAGCATCACTTGCCCCAGACTGAGAGTTCCTATCTATACCTTGTGGCTAATAGCCACTGATGGACCTCTGCTCCATATGTTTATCTAATTCCCTCTTGAAGCCATCCATGCTTGTAGCTACCACCACCTCTTTTGGCAGTGAATTCCATGTATCAATCACTCTTTGGGTGAAGAAGTACTTCCTTTTATCTGTTCTAACCCAACTGCTCAGCGATTTCATTGAGTACCCATGAGTTCTTGTATTGTGAGAAAGGGAGAAAAGTACATCTTTCTCTACCCGTTCTATCCCATGCATAATCTTGTAAACCTCGATCATGTTACTCCTCAGTCATTGTTTCTCCAAGCTAAAGAGCCCCAAGCGGTTTAACCTTTCTTCATAGGGAAGGTGTTCCAACTCTTTTATCATTCCAGTTGCCCTTTTCTGCACTTTTCCAATGCTATGATATCCTTTTTGAGGTGGTGGTGACCAGAACTGGACACAGTACTCCAAATGAGGTCGTACCATCGACTTATACCGGGGCATTATGATACTGACTGATTCATTTTCAATTCCCTTCCTAATAATCCCGAGCATAGTGTTGGCCTTTTTTATTGCAGTTGCACCCTGTCTCGACATTTTCAGTGAGTCATCTACTACAACTCCAAGATCTCTCTCTTGGTCGGTCGCTGCCAGTTAGGACCCCATCAACGTGTATTTATAGTTAGGATTTTTGGACCCAATGTGCATCACTTTGCACTTGGCCACACTGAACCCCATTTGCCCCATTGATGCCCACTTGCCCATCCTCGACAGATCCCTTTGGAGTGCCTCACAATCCTCCCTGGTTCTCACCACCCTGAACAACTTTGTGTCATCTGCAAATTTAGCCACTTCACTGCTTACTCCCAACTCCAAATCATTAATGAACAAGTTAAAAAGCAGTGGACCAAGTACTGATCCCTGTGGTACCCCACTGCTTACCACCCTCCACTTAGAAAATTGCCCATTAATACTCACTCTCTATTTCCTATTAATTAGCCAGTTTTTGACCCACAAGAGGACTTGTCCTTTTATCCCATGATTATTAAGCTTACTTAGGAGCCTGTGATGAGGAACTTTATCAAAAGCTTTCTCGAAGTCACGGTCAACAACATCTATTGGGTCCCCCTTGTCCACATGTTCGTTCACTCCCTCAAAGAACACTAACGGGTTAGTGAGACAAGATCTAAGAACATAAGAATATAAGAGAAGCCAATGTTGGATCAAGCCACTGGCCCATTACAGAACAACACTCTGTCATATAGTGGCCAAAAATACCAGGTGCCATCAGGAGGTCCAGTAGTGGGGCCAGGACACTAGAAGCCCTGTCCCCAAGCACCAAGAATAACGTGCATCGCTAGCCCCAGACTGAGAGTTCCTATACCTTGTGGCTAATAGCCACTGAGAGACCTCTGCTTCATATGTTCATCCAATTCCCTCTTGAAGCCATCCATGCTTGTAGCTGCCATCACCTCCTGTGGGAGGGCTTCCAGTGTCCTGGCCCCACTGCTAGACCTCCTGGTATTTTTGACCACTGTGTGACAGAGTGTTGGACTGGATGGGCCATTTGCCTGATCCTTCATTGGCTTCTCTTATGTTATTAAGTACTTGGTTTGCCTTTCTGCTAACCCAGAGAACCTCTGTCTTGTCAGGATTAAGGTTCACCTTGTTCACTCTCATCCAGCCCATTACTGACTCCAAGCACCAGTTCAGAAATCAATAGCATCCTTGGAATTAAGGTGGAAGACAAAGGGAGAACAGGGTATCCTCCGCATTTTAGTAATGTTTCAGCCCATACCTCCTGATGACCTCTCCCAGTGGCTTCATATTCAATAGCCTGGAGATTATGGAACCCTGTGGAGCCCCACAGAAATGAAACCCTCTACTGCTTTACTTATGCCTAATCAAGCTGTGTAAAGTTTTGAAGTAGCTGCCTTTCCTTCTTGCCATTCATAATCCAGGTGGGCTGTAAATGAAATGCTGATTTGGGGTCAAGGGTAGTTCAGTGTTTTGTAAATGAATGGTGCCATCTAATCTCAGAGTTATTATGCCACACGCTGTCTTTACAGAATCCCAGTGTACAAGTGGCTCACATCCTTTCTCTGCCTCTGGTTGAGTTGACTGAGAAGCTGAGGGAAGAGTCTCTGTCTCCAGAGAGCGTCCTTTATGCCTACATGGGGAAGGTAAGAAGAATGAAATCTAATTTGTTAAATTGTCTATCCAGAAGGTAGATTAGACATAAAAATGCAATTTTCTGCTGTATAAATATATTAAGAAAATCTGACTGGGCTCTTTTTGTAGCAGGAACTCCTTTGCATATTAGGCCACACACCCCTAATGTAGCCAATCCTCCAAGAGCTTTACAGAGCTCTTCTTACAGGGGCTACTGCCAGCTCTTGGAGGATTGGCTACATTAGGGGTGTGTCGCTTAATATGCAAATGAGTACCTGCTACAAAAGGAGCCCTGCAAGTATTGTGTGCATGTTTATTTCCCCTAATTTAGTGCAATTTCTTTCCAGAATAAGAACATAAGAGAAGCCAATGTTGGATCAGGCCAAAGGCCCATTCCAGTCCGACACTCTGTCACACTGTGGCCAAAAATACCAGGTGCCATCAGGAGGTCCAGCAGTGGGGCCAGGACACTAGAAGCACTCCCACTGTCGCCCCCCCCCCAAGCACCAAGAATACAGAGCATCACTTGCCCCAGATTGAGAGTTCCTATCTATACCTTGTGGCTAATAGCCACTGAGAGACCTCTGCTCCATATGTTTATCCAATTCCCTCTTGAAGCCATCCATGCTTGTAGCTGCCGCCACCACCTCCTGTGGCAGTGAATTCCATGTGTTAATCACTCTTTGGGTGAAGAAGTACTTACTTGTATCTGTTCTAACCCGACTGCTCAGCGATTTCATGGAATGCCCATGAGTTCTTGTACTGTGAGAAAGGGAGAAAAGTACTTCTTTCTCTACCTGCTCTATCCCATGTATAATCTTATAAACCTCGATCATGTCACCCCTCAGGTGTCGTTTCTCCAAGCCAAAGAGCCCCAAGGGGTTTAACCTTTCTTCATAGGGAAAGTGTTCCAACCCTTTGATCATTCTATGAGAATGAGGAATATTTGATTGGCATCAAGCTTCCCTACATATATCCTAGTGGGTTGCCAGATCATTCACTTCTCCAGTTTACACTTATTGCTTCTCTTAGAGAAGGATCCTTCACAACCCAACTCCGACTCCTTTACAGAGCTTTTTATATAGTGGAAATGGGAGGGACAAGGACAAGTTCAAACATATATCAGGTTCAAACATATATCAGGTCCTGGAAGAAACCGGTATTTTTATATTAAACTGCATATTAATTTACTTTTGATTGTATACAAGTAGGGTTAAGTGTGTCAACCAACACTCTTGAAATCTGTGCATAAAAATAACAGAGTGAATTCAAAAAGGGGTAGAAATGGACAAAAATCAGTCGCTGAGAGGAAAGTGCACAGAAAACACTTGTTGCCATTGCAAATGCCTCTGCATTGTCAGTGGCAACAAATGCCAAATGAAGAATTGCTAGCTTCGAGTCCAGTAGAGACCAACAAGACTTTCCAGGTATAAGCTTTCGAGAGCCAAAGCTCCCTTTGTCACCTTATACCCCTCCCAAATCTTGTTGGTCTCTAAGGTTCTGCCGGGCTCAAATCTAACTGTTCCAACACGGCTACCCTCTGAAACAGAGAAACCCCATTGTGTGGATGCTACCTGGGGCAGTCCATAATAATGTCATGTTTTAAGGCTTTAAAAAAATTATCTCCCGCCTGTGCCTCACTTTAAAAATTACCCAGTTGACCTCTGTCACAATTTTGTTACTGCCTTTCTGGATGGCCTCCTTTATGAGTGGTCCCACTATGGCATGAATTCTATTTGTCCTGTGAGTCTGAGGTCCTGAGCTACTCTATGAAAAAACAAAAGAGATGCAAAATGCTGTAACAAAAAGATGCCCCTAGAGTTCATTGGGCTCCAGTGCACAGTAGGGGAAGGCTTAAATGCCTTGCTGTGCACCATGGTCTTGGTCTGACTTGTGTCCCTGCACACCTGGGAACTGAATCTCCAGCAGGAATGCAACATACATTTGATTGAAAGTCCTTGTGGCAAACTGTGGTGCAGCCTGAGGACTTTGTAAGGTGTAGTTGTTTCTTTAGAAAGCTGGTGAAACCTGTTTTGATCCCATGGGTTTATGGAATAGGTTGAAACTTTGCTGGCTGGGCTTTTGTTGCCTATTTTGCTAGATTTCTTTTGCTAGATTTTTTTGCCTACTGTTTTAATTGTTGTTGTAGTATTCTAAGACTCTATAGTTTGCAAGCTGTTTTGTGCTTTAAAAAAACCAACAACCCAGGATATAAATATTTAAAATAAACTTAAGTCCTACTTCTACGGCTAATTCATTCTCCATCTTTTTCAATGCCTTTCTTTAAGGCTTTAACAGTAAACCAGGAGGTCAACTGTGTGCGCCATTTTATTCCAGAATGTGAACAGCACCTTCAGAAACTGAAAAGGCATGCTGAAAAGGGCTTACTGTACGGTGTACCTGTGAGCATCAAGGACCATATTGGCTACAAGGTGATCCTGTTTCTAGGGATAACAGTGATTGTCTAGAGTAGGTGCAAGACTGCTATAGTAAAATGACTAATGGCCAGTACAACAACAGTCATGCATGTGGTGCAGTCCTTTCACTGGACTACTGTCTGAGGCAACAAATTTGGAGCATGCCTAGGACAGTTATAATTCGACCTCGCAGAACAGAGCACAAACCCATTAACTATGATATGGAAATATATACTTGAATTAATTAATGATGAAGAGACAAAAGCAAATAGGCTTTATTTCATTCGCTTTTAAGCATGGGCAGTTCAACTCTCTTTTTTTACCACCCTATGCAGTACTAGCATGGCATGGAAGGAAGGATGTTTCCCCCCACTGCTTCTGCCCAGCTCTAAAGTGGCCCATGTTTCCTCCCCCCTTGTGGCACCCTAGCTACCACTAGCTTTGGAGAGTCTGTGTAGCCTGCTGGAAACTAGTGATGGCAGTAGCACCAGTGAGGAAGGAATGAACCTCTCCTCCCATGCTACTCCAAGGTGGTCTGCAGCCTCCCTTGGACCTGATCCAGGAGGTGATGACAGACACAAGGCATGCCTATTACCTCCTCCTAGGTAGTGGCCCCTCCCCAGGGCTTGTTTTCAGGGGGAATGTGCCAGAACGGAGTTCTGGAACCTCTTTGACAAAATTCTTTTAAAAAATATTTTTAAAGTTCATGAGTTTTCAGTATACAGATTGAAAACTTCATTTCCTTCTTGAGAGTTCCAGCACTTCTTTTTCAAAAAAAAGCCCTGCCCCTGCCTATACAGTGCCCCAAGTGCCTGCTCGAGTAGTAAACTGGTTCTGATTTAAAGAGAACCATGTTAGGAACTCTTGGTAGAAAATACCCTTTTGAAGCAGAGCAGGAGATATTGGATGTGCAGAAATACAGAGTTGGTTTTCAATGTTCTTTTTGCTTTTCCTGAATGATTCTCTAGCAGTTCAATAACAAGATATCCAGCATCTAACGAGTGTCTTGATTCCTAGGGCCATTTATCAACATGTGGCTTTACTGTGTCACTCGGTATTCTAGAAGAAGAGGACAGTGTGTTAGTCAAGGTGTTGAAGAGACAGGGAGCAAATCCATTTGTAATCACCAATGTCCCCCAGTCCTTAATGACGTAAGTTACCATAATGTTACCTATGGTCCTTTCCTTTGCTGGTAAAGATTGACCTTATGCAGTGTGGCTTTTTTTGTTTTTTTAACTAACCAGGTTTGCATTAGTTTTGCATTGATTAGATAATGTCAGATCAGAAACATACTTTTTACTGATAGATATGAGGTTACTGGTCTGAAGAGAGGCTAAATAGATTCTAAGGTATGCATGGATTCCAGCCACACATTATTTCTCAGTCAGTTCCTGTCCTGTTACTGTGATCTGTACAGCTATATGAGATGGCTGTCTGTTTTTCCCCTGACCTTTCTTCAAGGGATTCAGGATAGTACATGTGGTCCTTCCCACTGCAACATCCCTGTGAGGTAGGTCACTCACTGAGCTTTATGGCAGCATAGAGATGTGAACATGGGTCTTCCCAGTCCTAGGCCAGCACTCTAACCAATATGGAGGATTGCCTCCATATTGTGTTTGGGAGTTGCAGTGGAGCAGCTTCCTTTGTTCTCTCCCCCCCCAAAAAAAAACCCACATGAGTTATCTGCCTTTTATCTTCCTTACAATTAGGCTATTCAGAGGTGCTCACAAGACAGGTTTTTGACTATCATTATGGTTCCCATGTAATACCTCAAAGAATGCTCCTGCCCATTAACAGCACTGTAGCAGTGACAAGAATATATCCCTTGAGAAAACTCTTTTTCTGCTTCCGCTGTGTATATCTTGGCATTGAAGAGCATTATCAAGTGCCCTCAGCACAGCACAGCGGTCTCAACTGAGTGCATTGCCATGAAGCCTCTTCTCTCTCTCCACCCCCCATCTATCTTGAGACCACTGACAAATTTCTGCCTACAAGTCACGAGGGGCCAAGAAAAAGAGAAAGTAGCACCCCAAAAAATTGAGAGCTACTTTCTGTGTTATTGTGTACTAGGAGTAAGGCCTGTTGTGAGAAGAAATAAAACGAGCTCTAGAAAGAGGGTCCAGGTGAGTGTCCTGGCTGTGACTGGTGGGGCGGCGGAGGGAAGGGGAAAATACAGGAAGATGAGCCATGTTTATTTCCTTCTGCTTAGGCAGGGCTGTCTCAAGTCATTTTGCTGCCCCAAGTGGGTAGTATAGGAGGAGAGCCATATCGTAACAGGTATGGTTCCCTCCACCCCTGACTTATGTTGATTTGGGGCTATGCCATGGCAGCTAAGGTAGAAAAGCATCACCTCCTATGCCATGTTTTCTGGATTCCATGGGTCTGGAAAGCGCTTCTGTATCCAGTTACAGAGTTGCCAACTCTGGGTTGGGAAATACCCATAGATTTGAGGGGCAGAGCCTGGGGAGGGCAGGGTTTGGGGTGGGGAGGGACCTTAGCAGGGTATAATGCCATAGAGTCAACTGCCCAAACCAGCCATTGTCTCCAGGAGAACTGATCTTGGTCATCTGGAGATCAGTTGTAATAGCTGGTGCTGCCTGGAGGTTGGCAATACTTAGTTGAGGGGCAGGTTTGTTGGAGGACTTCAGTGAGCTAGACTGCCATAGAGCTCCCCCTCCAAAGCAACCATTTTCTCCATGGGGACTGATCTTTGTAGTCTGGACTCTGGAGATCAATTGTAATTCAGGGAGATGTCCAGGCCTTCCTTTTCCCCCAACTCCTGTTAACAGTTTAACTGATTAACACTTCAAATGACTCCCTGCTAATGCCCCACAACCTCTTGGGACTCTCAACTTGGGAGTTGTAGTTCTAATTCCTTTTGCTGTGGTTGCAGTAAGGCCAGCTAAGAACTACAACTCCCAAGCAATACTCCCTCTAAGATGTGGAGTCTTATGAGCAAAATTCTTTTGTTCAAAAGAAAGGCAATGGGCATTTTAATGAATAAATATAAATAGCCCCATGTCATACAACTCCCAAGCAATACTCCCTCTAAGATGTGGAGTCTTATGAGCAAAATTATTTTGTTCAAAAGAAAGGCAATGGGCATTTTAATGAATAAATATAAATAGCCCCATGTCATTTTGTGCCTAGAGAGCAAGACGTAGCTGACATTGTCCTTATCATAGCAGTATAATTTTGTACCAGATCAGACTGAATTATGATTCTGGTCATGTTTTGCCTTCTCTGGTGCTCTTTGGAAAGTCTCAGCATCTTGGGCAGTCTGAGGTTGTTTTGCACAGACCTTTGTACATGTACACGGCCAGCATTCTTAGAAAGGGAACACCTATGTATGTAGCATCCAATCCAGTGATCTGGAACACTGCTTTTCTAATGATCATGTGGACAGAGTCTATGTACACGTAGTCGGAGGGTGCTGTGCCCACATGAGGGGAACATATGTAGGGCAGGGGGAAGCCACTGCACTCACTCCCCTTCATTCTCCACATTTATTTATTTAATTCATTCGTATCCTGCCTTTCTCTCTAATGGGGACCCAAGGCAGTTTACAGTGTTCTCTCCTCCCTTTTATCCTCACAACCCTGTGAGGTGAGTTAGACTGAGAGGGTGTGACTGGCCCAAGGTCACCCAGCAAACTCTCATGGCACAAGTGGGGATTTGAACCTGAGCCTCCCAGATGTTCGTTCTCCACTCTTCACCACTTTGCCACGCTGGCTCTCCACATGTATTAGCCTCGTGCGCACATACATTGGGTTTGTGAGGTTTGTAGAAATAACTCATTTTTAAGCATCTTTACTCTTACTGTTCAGTGGGCTTTGATTTCTAGTTAAGCGTGCTTAGGATTGCATCTTAAGAAAGGAATTGTTTGCTTTTTGCTACATATAAACAGGAGAAATAATAACTAACCACATTTTTGTTGTCTTGTAGCTATGACTGCAGCAACCCAATTTTTGGCCAGACAGCGAACCCTCTCAACCATAGGAAAAGCCCTGGTGGCTCCTCTGGAGGGGAAGGGGCTCTGATTGCAGGAGGAGGGTCCATCCTGGGCTTTGGGACTGATGTGGGTGGAAGTATCCGCTTGCCTTCCAGCTTTTGTGGTCTTTGTGGGCTGAAGCCAACAGGAAGTAGGCTGAGGTATGTACTTAGATTCTTATCTACGGTGTATCTGATGATGTGGGCTCAGACTCATGAACATTTATGCCACACTAAATGTGTCATTCTTTAAGGGAACACAAAACTCTTCTTTAGGCTGTAGCAGACTAACATGGCTACTCTGACATCCTTTGCTAACCATAAAAAATCTCCTAGAGTTCCAAGCAAACAACCATGACTTGATTAGGGGAAGAAATGAAATGTCTTTCCTGGTAACTTTAAAACCCTGGCAATGAAGATATCTAATTACTAATTAGATTACTAGTTTGAGAGCCTTTGTAACTTTTGTGCAGGTAATGCATTGCACATGACCCAGATAATGTTCATCCAACAAATGCATTTCCTGTTGTAAGGAAGTTACAGTTCAAGAATTCAAACAGCATAACTGACAGGAAGAGAAAATGTGATTCTTTTGCCATCCACTCAGAGCCAAACTAAACAAGAGTGGTTAGGATCTCCTTTGAAGATTGGAGAAGGGTTACTGGGTTATGAGCTCATCCCTTTACCTAGTGCTTGGGACACATTTCAGGCTATACATTGGCTGTCTTTTCAGAATTACTAAAAAAACAACCTGGGATCACAGTTTGTATTACAGAAAATACAAACAAACACTGTGATATGCTGGCTAACACATTTAGTAAAAGATTTTACAATCAATATATAAATCTTATGTCACGTTATAGAGAAGTACTCCACTCCACCTTATAATATTACAAAGAGAAGTCCATCCTCCTGATGTTACATCCTCATGATGTTACTACGAGCACCCAGATGTAAGCTCATTTCATCAAAGTCTTCCTCAGGAGTATTCCTATTGGCTTCAAAGTTATCAGCCTCTTGTTACAATTCAGTGTTTATATTGGGAGCAAGTCAGTCCTTAACCTCTTCTCTAAACAGATGCAAAAGCCTTCTGAATTTGGCTGGCAAAATGCTCTCTGCAAACCTCGGGAGTATTTTATTTTCTTCAAAATTATCATCCTGGAATAAATGTTTAGTAAAATGTTTTAATAAATGTGTTAGCCAGCATATCACAGTGTTTGTTTGTTTGTATTTTCTCAGAATTAGTGCCTCTTAATAAAAAAATAGGATGGGTTAGGCTTCTCTGCAGGGGTCATTTCGTAGAAAAAGAGGTGGAGGAGCTCATTAGCATAACTCATTAGCATAACTTATTTGCATATGCCACACCCCCTGATATCACCGGAAGTGTGTCAGAAGGCAACATCCACCACTCAGGCTCCACTGGACTGTTTTGGATTGCTAGCTATTGGGGGGGGGGGCGTGCAGATCTGTCCTCACAGAGGAGGGAGGGCTTGTACCTGAATAACACTTGGTCTTAAAGGTG